ACGTACTTTTCATCTTTCATCTTCATTTTTATCCTCGTAATATCTCATTTTTTTACGTTGAATTATCGCCTACAACATGCCTGAATCAAGGAAACGATAACATACACGTACAAGAGGCCACGTAATCCACTCTTCAAGAGGCCATGTAATGCACTTCTATTCACTATTCCATCCTGGTTCCGAGGACTCTTTATTTCTTCTGCACAAGACGGGTATACTATACAAGAACGCAAGAAGTCCCATAAGGACAAGAACAAGTACACGTCAAGCCGTCGCAAAGCTAGCAAAGAAAAGATTCCCACGCAAGACACCCGTGAAATCGTGGTACCTCAAGAAAGACTCAACAAGCTGCTCTCTCAATACAACCATGCTCTCAAGACTCTGGCTCAATTGTGTGAAGTGTATGATGACGCGTATGGAAAGCAGGTTAAAGTGGGAACACCACCAATGCCAGCAATACCATCAAAGCCAATACCACTAGCACAACAATACTCCTAACAAGGCCCACGCAACGCCAAAAGGTACAGTATCACCAAGTCATCAAAGCCCCAATATTGGTACAAGCGCCACATCCGTTATGTCAAACACCACCCTGAGGACTCAAGACACGTTAAGCAACACAAATTCCACCACCCAACAAAAGACACCAACCTGCGTAGACATTACAACGTGGCATGTGTGCATTGTGAGGAGTGAATGACATCGTTGCCAAGCGTACACAGGCGCACACAAGGAAAAAAGGAAGACGAAAAGGTTCGCAGGCTCAACAGAGTGCATCCACACCATGACTGCTACAACCCCTGATACGTCTCACACCTGCTGATGAAGCACTTTGACTTTGACTTTGACTTTGACTTTGACCTACATGCTGACCTTGATCAGTTCGCTGCTGCTGGATTGGGCAATACCCGAAAAGCAAACACACCGAATTAGAAACGTCCCATACGTATACGTTCTCCCATTCTTATACAGAATAAACGTTGCCCAGCTTTGATCGATCTAAGCGCTGTAATTTCTGTTTTTGAATACATGACTTTGTGATGAAAACAACTGGTCTAATTATTTGGATGGGAAAATTTGGTATCCTGGCAACGGAGATGCTGTCCTAGAATTGCCACTACAACACCCTTTAGTTTCGAGGTTATGAACCTTGCATACGATGATGTGATCATAGGCACAGACCTAATGTCACTAATCGGGATCGCTCTCACAGGACTAGCCTTCAAATGGGATCATGATGACTCGTCTTTAGATTTAACATCCACTTTGGCATAGTTGAACAAGAAAGCAATGAGCCTAATAAGTCTCCAACAGGCACACCTACGAGTGACATGACTTTTACTGCCAAATCAAACCTTTTATGGAAGCCAATACACGTATTTCCAAAGCATCATGCTGCCACATGGAAGAATCTGTGATAGAGCTACCTACTCCTGGCGTCATTTTTTTTATCCTCAATATCCTATACCATTTATTCAAGAACCTGCTACAATGCTGCTGTCAAGAAATGGTTGGATTCTTTCTATTGTCATCCATATCCCATACCATTCATCCAAAGACCTGCTACCAATGTTGCTGTCAGGAAATGATTAAATTCTTTCTATCATCATCAATATCCTATACCATTCATTTCAAGACCTGCTATCAACGCTGCTGTCAAGAAATGGTTGAATTCTTCCTATCATCGTCAACATCCCATACCATTCATTCAAAGAACGGCTTTCAATGCTGTCAAGAAATGGCTGGATGATGGTGCCGTCGTTAGACCTCCTGTAAACGATGCATGGAACAGCCCTCTCACAATGACATCTACAACCAATATCCTCCAAACACCAACGTGTCATGCATTGCATCTTCGAGAATATGACATTCGTACAATCGTTCATTGACGACATTGTCATCCACTCACCTGACATGCTAACACACACGCATCACGTCAAACACTTCATACAAGCGTTGACTCATGCAAATCTCATTCTTTATTCTGCCAAATCTCACATGGCACAAACTCGCATTATCATCTCAACTTTACCATAAGTCACAAGGGCATCACCCTGCACAACCGCACACTCACATTTATCTTCTCGACTTTACATAAGTCATAAGGGAATCACCCTGCACAACCGCACACTCACATTTATCTTCTCGGCTTTATCATAAGTCATAAGGGCATACCCCTATACCAATCGCACACACACCACTATGCTGTAATGGCTCATACCCAAAACCGGCAAAGATCTCCAACGTTTCCTTGGGATCGTTAACTACTTTCAGGGACACATACCCAATGTAGCATCCATACGAGCACCCTTGGATCGTTTTCGGAATCTCTACTCCTTGGAAGATACATGGAATGATGAACACTTACAATGCTTCAATAAGCTTAAACGCGCTTTACAAGCTGATGTGCTCTTTGAATTTCCTGATCTTTCGCAATCTTTCTTTATTTGTGGTAACAGATGTCTCCTTATGGCATTGGCGCTGCATTGTTTTTGACGCATTGACGGTCAAGAGCGCTACACATCCTTCATGTCTCATGCACTCTCATCCTCTGAACGCAATTATTCCGCTACCAAGCGTGCACTTCTAGCCGCCATGCTTGCTTTACGAACATTCCATCAATCTTTGTGGGATAACACATTCACTTTATATACCAATCATCCAGCTCTATGCTATCTACATACTACAAAGGTAGCTAACGCCATGGTGATAAACGGGCTCGATACCCTACCTACATACACGTTCAACGTGGTTCACTTACCTGGACTCCAAAACATTCTTCACATTCATCTTTCTCGCTTGTTCACCCCAAGTGACAAGCTGGAGGGGGGTAATCATCCTCATATCCTTCACAATGCCGACATACAAAGCACCAACAGATATCTTGACACCTCCCGAAAAGGATCGTCCAAAAGAACTGGAAGATGCACATAAGATCGGTCATGATGGAGCTGAGCATATAGTGAAATACCTTCAACACACGCAAGGAATACACTGAACACCATCTTGCAACACGCGGTAGAACTCGTAAAGTCATGCCCTGTTATCCAACACTTCAACATCGCGAAAAAAGGCTTCCATCCCTTGCGACCCATATACACATACATACCAGAAGGCCATTGGACGCATCACCCATAGGCTCACCAATCCATATCATCCTCGAGCAAAAGATACAGCTGAACGCTTGATACAATCTGCAATACAGTTCATTAAGAAGAAGCTTGAAGGTGCCAGCCGTGATTGGGATTACCAACCTCGCACACAGTTGCATATCTCGAAACGCTCGCAATCGTCGCCTTTCTCGCTCATGCTCACTCGTAACGTAAACGCATTACGTGAATACCGCAAGGACACATCGACACCTGTTACTTCCATGTCGTACGAAGAATTCGTCAATCGACTCGGGCACATGCAAAGGGTTGTGTTTCCAACTTTGAAAGAAAGAGCGGACGCGTATGTCAAGAACCAAGGAAACCAATTTGAATCCACGCACAAGCTCACCAGTTGACCCGAGCAAAGTCACGTCATGGCTAAAGTGCATACACCTATACATGAAGATCCATACACCATCCTACGCAACATCGAAGGTGGTTCATACATCATACAAGATGACATCGGCTCACTAATGCCGTGCGATCACACCCCTTCCGATTTCATCCAGCAATACTGGAAGTGACATGGTGAGAAGCAACCTGATATTGCTCACAACGCCAACAATACTACGTCACACAAACGCAAGGCACATGGCCAAAGCACAGGCCAACGTCGATCCAAACGTAACAAGCAATAATGCAATACCCTTCAAAAAGGCAATACCTTAGCAGAGGCCATACCTCCAACAGAGGCAATACCTCATTCAACGACAATACCATGACCAGAAGGCAATACCTTCATCAGAGGCAATACCTCATGCAGCGGCAATACCGTCATCAGAAGGCAATACCTTCACCAGAGGCAATACCTCAGCGGCAATACCGTATCCAAAGGCAATACCTTACAAGAGGCAATACCTTTACCACACAAGAGGAAATACCTTGACATGCATCAGGCAATACCTGGCATAAGGTAATACCTTGACACATCATCCTACGCTCGGTGGATCTTTTCCCATTTTTTTTCCCACAGGGTTTTTTCACGGGTTTTTCTGATCTGCCATCCATAGCGTCAACATCTTCCAACCTTTCATTCTTCAACGGTTGTTCCAACCTGGTGGGGGGTAATGTCGTATTTCAAGTACCAATACCATCATCAAGTACAAGGTGACAAG